TCTCTCTTCTCTCTCTCTCTCTCCCTCTCTCTCTCTCTCTCTCTCTCTCTCTCTCTCTCTCATGTCTCACTCTGACCTAGAGGTCACCTACTAGCCTAGACTAGCCAGTAAGTGAGCCCCACGTGTCTCTACCTCCCCAGCACAGGGATTACAAGCATGAACCACCACAGAGCTGTTTTATGCAGGTTCTATAGATCACACTTAGGTCTTCATGCCTGCAGAACAAACACTTTACTAATTCCCTCATTATCATGTCTTTTTATCATTTCTTACATTGACATAATGTGTGGAAATTTCATTTATGAAGAATTGTTATAAACGGCTCAGGAAATATGATGTGACTCAATCCTTGGAACCTTCATAAAACCTCTAAATCTTATGATTTTAACTCTCAAATTCTACTCCCTAAGATATAGAAGATAGAAAATCATGTAAGGGTTAGGGAGATGTGGCTCTTTCCTTGGTCAAAGCAAACAACAGAAATCAATGATTTCCATATCATGGACCAAATGCTATCCAATCTCTGAGAAACCCTCTGGAGGATATCTGAGACCAACTGATAACCAGATATGAGACCCTTGCAATGTCAGAAAACCGCTCTTTGACTTACACCTCATTGTGAATCCTGTCACTTTCACATCCTACTATGGAGCTGATATGCAAGTTCTCTTTTGTGATCAACTCACACACAAAAAAACTAGGACAATATAATGATAATATAATGACATCATTGCAGGATTGTTGTGAGGCTGATTAATGGATATCTTCAGTGGAAAGTCTTCATGATATATAAGTTCCCACTTGACTACTCAACAGAAATCTAAGGTTCATTTCTTTCTTCCTTCTCTTTCCTGAATTCTGTTTTTCTACTCCTCTCTTGCACTCAAATTATTTCCAAGTCACCCATGTCTACCCAAAGTGATGGCTTGTGGTACCCACACCTTTTATGTAAGCATGTCCCCTGCTGTCTCAGGAACAAAGGACTCACCCCATAGGTATAACTGATCTTCTTTCTTCCTCCTATTTGCCCCACAGGTGTCTCAATCTTACTATCCATTTATGGACTTCACCACAACTCAAAGGTGTGGCCAAACC